TTCGTTTGTGCGACTACATACCACGCTATCCAGACAGCCCTCCGAGTGCCTCAACGAACCAAGACAACTGGGATCGCCGAAGCTCAACAAACTTTCTGTCATCCGCTGCGACATGGCCGAGATCTTTCAGAACATCAGCAAATGGCTGCTACGCTCCCCTCCGTCCGAATGGGCCATCAACCAGCTTAGAGAGCTGTTGATCGGGGCGCTGAAACAGGGCCCCGTCCCGCAACATGTGGCATTCGAGATGGATGGCAACAGGCGCTATGCGCGGGGGAAACGGATGGAAACCATTGAGGGCCATCACCACGGCTTCGAAGCACTAGCAAGGGTACGTACGACAATGCGGAAGATGTTTTGACCAACTGCTCATCATTTGCTAGGTCCTCGAAATCTGTTACAAGTCTGGCGTCAAGGTTGTGACTGTGTACGCCTTCAGCATCGAGAACTTCAACCGACCCCAATACGAAGTGGATGGCCTCATGGAACTGGCCAAGGTCAAGTTGGAGCAACTGACGCACCACGGCGACCTTCTTGACAAGTACGGCGCTGCTGTCAGGGTTCTTGGACAGAGGGATCTACTACGCGAGGACGTCCTCGAGGTTGTCGACAGGGCGGTGGAGATGACCAAGAACAACAAGAAGTGAGTGACCATCAAGCTGCACGAATATCGTGCGATAAACTGACGACGCCAGGAACGCTCTCAACATTTGTCTTCCCTACACATCGCGGGAAGAGATGGCCACCGCGATTCGATCCACGGTAGAGGACTACATGACGCCTCCCGAGCCCAAGTTTACGGCTTTCCCTGCTTCCCGCATTACGCAGAAGATTCTCTCGAAGCAGCTGGATGAGAAAGATCAGAAGGACTGGCCTGCGGTTCACGAGATCACGCCTATTCCTTCATCGCCTACACCATCCTCGCGGTCTGTCGCCGATGATGATACGGCGTCATCAGCGACACTGCCTCCCGGCTCCCCATCACCACCGCACATCACACACCACGAACCCGGCCAATCCTTGCTGAAGAACCCCGAGACGATTACCGCTGAGACGCTCAACAACCACATGTATACGGCTGGAGATCCCCCTCTCGATATTTTTGTCCGCACTAGTGGCGTTGAGAGGTTGAGTGACTTTATGCTTTGGCAGGCTCACCAGGACACACAGATCTTCTTCCTCAAGTGTCTGTGGCCCGAGTTTGATCTGCAGCACTGGCTGCCCGTGCTGTTGGAGTGGCAGTGGAGGCAAAAGCAGATGGACCGTGAAGAGCGGCCCGAAAAGAAGAGGGCTCGAAAAGCGGTCAAGACGGCGTAGTCCTTGGCTTGGCGCGCGCGTCATGTGGGTGGGCATTTCTTGATTCGAGACTTCACCCTCCAATGCAAGACCTGGCCTGGCGCCTGGGTTGGGATTGACGGAGGTTACGGTTGGGCTACTGTAATTAGTACTAGACGTTGGGACGGAAGATACCACGGCAGATTACACTCATACTTTTTTTCTTCATTTTCGATTCTTTTTTTTTGGTGTCGTTTCCCTCACGAGA